GGGGGGGGGGGGGGGGGGGGGGGGGGGGGGGGGGGGGGGGGGGGGGGGGGGTTGTCTCGTAATCCTTCCCAGTCAGTCACTGGGGGTGGGGATTTCTCTCTCAGCAGGAGGCTTTAAGAAGAGGAGAATATTTTGAGAACAAGCAGGCCGACTGAAGGAAAAGAAATGAAAATGTTTATACATATCCAGGATTAAGGGAAGGGGGAAAAAAGAACTAATTTGAAAGACTAATTCCTTCAGCTGCCTGCTTCTTCCTTCATCTCTCCCTCTAACACACACGCACACACACACACACGCAGAGTGCCACACACAGAAGGATTCCCAACCGCTCCGATTGGCCTATGAAACAGACCCCAGCCTGATTGGGACCGAGACCCCCTGCGCCCTCCTGAGCCAGGCGGAAGGGGGGGAGGCTGCCCCAACCTCTCCACCTGCTTTTCCAATTCTTTTTCCCTCCAGGCTCCGATACCTGGGCTGACCGCCCCCCCCCACCCCCACCTTTCCTTAACTCTTTCGTGCCTGAATTGCTGGAGAGACGAGGCATCTCTCCATTTGGACCCAAGGCCCATTGGGGTTTCCGGAACAGCTCTGGATAACATCAAACGGTTCACGCAGAAAAAGGGGGTCGGGGGGGGGGGCTTGCACTGCAGGGCGGAGGTTCCGTTCGCCTGCAATCGGAACGGGACCAGCTCAGGGTTCGAGATTTCAAGAGACTGGACCTCAATAAGCAAAGGGATGGAAGAGATTCCATGGATGGAATATCCTCCAGTTCAGGGAGACGGAGAAAAAAACGAGAGATTTTCGAGATGCTCAGAGAGGAAGAACACCAAGAGCGAGACTGATGCCATCACCCAGCCTGGTAATGAAACAGAGACAGTCCTCCACTTATGACCATCATGGAGCCTGCCCGTTTTGGTTGTAAGTCATAATGGTGTAGAGCAGTTGCCAGAGTTGTTAAGCGAACACAAGTCATAAAGCAGCAAAAGGTCATAAATTGTGGCCGTGGTTGAGCTGGAAAAGGCCCTCAATGCAGCTGCTGGTTGCCAGGGGCTGAAAAGGCAGCCGTGGCTCTGCGGGGGCTTCAGAACTGGGTCACAAGTACATTTTGCAAGGCTTGCTAAGCGACCTGTCACAATCTCTCCTCCGCTTTCTTTGCTTCCTCCTTCAGAACCTTCTCCGCCCTTCTCCCCTTCCCAGCTGGGCTCCCCGCCTCTTTATACCCCTGAGCACGGGGGCAGGGGGGGGGGAAGCTCGCCCCACTGAAGCCCCTGACTTCTCCAAGGCAGCTCTCAACACGCGGATATCCCCAGGGATCTTCCACAGCATGGACAGGAGGAGGAAACGGAAGGAGTACCAGGCACCGTTTTCATTTTGCAGCCCCTTCTGTCATTTGAGTACAACATCAGTGCGGAATCCACTTGGTCGGTCGATGGCTCAAACGGCTCAGGGTCGACCACTAAGGGAGAGGATCTAGGAGAGGAATCGCAGGCGCTCAGCTTGGTCTGCTCTTTGTGGTTGAAGTGGGTGCCGCCCCCGTGTGCCTAGAGCGAGGCCTGGGAAAGAAGGCCCGGCAAGGGGCTGGGAAACGCCGGACATTAATCAGGCCGCCCACTGGGAGATTTGCTAGACATGGAGGAGGCTTCCAACGACTGCCAGATGGCCCAGGCCATCCCAGCGAGGCCCACCCGAGAGCAGAAGCCAGGATGCCAGAAGAGTCTCTGACCCACAGACAGCTCATGCCATGAGCGAGGTCAAAGGGCAGACTCGGCCATTAGAAAGAAGCTGCACAGGCCAGATCCACGCCGGAGGGGTGCCAGGAGGAGCCCTTAGCGGTCCAGCGATGACACCACCACCCCTCCCCGGTCAAAGACCAGGGCAGTCCGGACAGTGTGCCCCGACGCACAAGGCCAAGGCAACGTTTGGCAAACACCCAAGGGCATCTCACCAGGGAAGCCCCTGCAAAGCCTGGGGAGGGGAATGTTAAGGGTTTGGAGCTGCTCCGCTGCCTCTGGGCAGCTCACAGAAAGCAGGACGCGCCCTTGCCTGGACCAGAGGGGGTCTGGAGGAGAACCTGAGGCCGTCTGCCAGAAGGCGGAAGCTTGGACCTTGCAAAATGACTGTGAGCAAAAGATTCCAGTAAGCCCACCAAGGAATGGCTGAGAAAAGAGAGGGAGAAATGGGAGGCCTTGGAGCAGCTGGGGAGTGGGGGATGCTCAAAGCCCAGATCTGAGTCCCATCAAGATTGGAGGGGGGGGGGGAGAAAAGCCTCAAGGGCCCCACCCCCAGCTGAAGCGGGGCCTCCGTCAACCTCAGGGACGTGGAGACGGTCGTAAGGAAGGCCTCCCTGAGGTCGTTTCTGCCAGAGGGGCCGAGGAGCCCAGGGCGTCCTTCTTTTGTACACATGCAAAATCTGCATTTATGTTTAAATTACCCAACAGAACGCCAAGTGTAAAAAGTGCCTGATACTTATCATATCCCATTACCTGTCCCTATTGTGGAAGGATCAGATTTCTGCCCAGTGAGGCATGTTGTAAAGGCAAAGGTTTCA